GGAAAATGACGTAATGCCCAGCCACCGGTTGAACAGTGGTAGAGGAAAATGACGTAATGCCCAGCCACCGGTTGAACAGTGGTAGAGGAAAATGACGTAATGCCCAGCCACCGGTTGAACAGTGGTAGAGGAAAATGACGTAATGCCCAGCCACCGGTTGAACAGTGGTAGAGGAAAATGACGTAATGCCCAGCCACCGGTTGAACAGTGGTAGAGAATAATGACGTAATGCCAAGCCACCGGTTGAACAGTGGTAGAATAAATGACGTAATGCCTAGCCACCGGTTGAACAGTGGTAGAGGAAAATGACGTAATGCCCAGCCACCGGTTGAACAGTGGTAGAGGAAAATGACGTAATGCCAAGCCACCGGTTGAACAGTGGTAGAGGAAAATGACGTAAGGCCCAGCCACCGGTTGAACAGCGTTAGAGAAAAATGACTTAATGTCCATCCACCTTTTGAACGGTGGATAAACACTTGGGTCGTATTCTGCTATTTGTTGTCTTATTTTGGTCGAGTAGTACACAAATCAAGAATTCTGGCGATAAAATGAAGGCATGCAATCATACTCTCTCCCTGCTAATTATAATGCTTATATTTTTGTAACTATTTTTATATCTACCGTGAAATATTACATGCCAATGATTTGCGAATTTTGACTCAGGAGCTCAGTCAGAAGGGTTAAAATTGTTCAGGAACGCAGCGGTCAAAGTTTAATATTAGTCATGGAAATATTATGATGTTTTTATGATTAACTAAAAGAAAAAAAAATGTCCGTGAGTAGAAATCATGCCAAGAGCAAAGTGTATAGGGTGGATGAAACTATCAAATTTATCTCAGTAGATAGCAAAGTCAATAGGAAAAGCTCAGGCATAAAATGGAGAAATAAGACAGAGAGGTTTGACGGTAAAACAAGGTAAAAATATAGCAGAGTCAGTCGTCAGCGGAGAATTTGATAAAGGTATCTGTCTAGCAGTGAACAGGCCAATAAGTAACAATTTGTGTCGAAATGCCAAGATTAATTTGGATCAAAAACTCATTCGAGAAAATTTCGGAAGCATTAGCCAACCGGAAAAATCGTTGTGCATCGGGGTAAGACCAATAGGGATTACATCAACCATTATTTTTTGGTGCCTCTATATTCCATTTCATGCTTATTAGCTCTGTGAATGACCGCTATACAAATACGTTTTGGCAAAGATCTTGTGTAATATGTCAGCTTTTAATAAAAATAGGTGCGAAATTTATAGGCATTGAGCCATACTACAATGTACTCCAGTCTGATCATTCGTTTCTACAGCGGTTTAAGTGAAGAAGCTAAATAATTAGAACACACATCTCAACAGTGGAACACGAAGCCAATGAAGATGGTTCGTTACAATGTGAGTAGCATGGTGGGTCTTAACCGTGAAAGTTTGAAATTAGTGGAACTAAGGAATGTAGTTTGTCTGAGCACTTTTTCATGGAAATAACGATAAAGCAGTTTAGAAGTTTGTGACGTTTCGTCTGGGGAAAAAAGGGGTTTTAGAGTGGAAAATATTCAGTCGTCCACAAGGACCCGGGGAAGCTTTTATACGCTATTGAGACAAGAAAGTAGGATTTAAAGAACGATGGTTTTTTTTTTCTTCTTTTTTAATCATTTCACCCAAGCAAGGTAACTATGACACTAAGTCGCAAGGGGCTACTGAAAGTGAAAAAGAATGAGAGGGGAAAGGACATTAAAAGAACAGGGTTTAGGAAGACAGGAGATATAACTAAGATGCAACGAGGTTACTGGGAGTGAAAAAGAATGAAAAGACTTTAGTGAGGAGAGAGGGCAATAAAAGAAGAGTTTTCAGGAAGACAAAAGATGGCGATAATGCCACTAAGAAGCAACGGTTTACTGGAAAAGTAAAAGAATGAGAAGACTTTAGTGAGGAGAAAGGACAATAAAGGACAAGTTTCAAGAAGACAGATGATGATGATAAAGCCACTAAGACGCAAGAGGTTACTGTGAGTGAAAAAGAATGAAAAGACTTTAGGGAAGAGAAAGGACAATAAAAGAACAGGTTTCAGGAAGACAGAAGATGTCGATAATGTCATTAACATGCAAGGATTTACTGGGAAAGTAAGAGAATGAGAAGACTTTAGTGTAGCGAAAGACAGTATATTTCCGTTGGTCTGCATTTAAATACTTATAAAAATGGAGGTGAAATGAAAGCAAGAAACACAAGCGAGATGTGAGGGAAAAAAAATCAAACCTTATTATGAGGTTACCTCAAGCTCGCTCAACAGCCAAACGATGTGACCTATTTGACAATCTGGTAGTATGCTTACATCCATGCAGTCAAAACATCAAGATAGAATGCTCATCAGAATAATTAGCATTAAAATATTTGTAGAAAATACAGGGTTATTTTCTTTTTATTTATTTTTTCTTCCATTGAAATACTCGGTTATTCAATTGTTTTTTTTAATAGATTTTAGCTTATAAATGTGAGTATCAGTTCTAAGGCGTGATGCATTGTAAATTATTTCCTCCATCGGTAGATAAGTAGACGTAAAAAGAATGAAATAGATACAAAATGAATGAAAAAAATAGGATAAAAATTCCTTCATAGCAATATTTATTTTGGCCACTTTAAGATAGATGAACAGGTTCGGAGAACTCATTCGACGTTGTTTGTTGATCGAGAATAACTATTCATACATAAGTGCAATTAAAAGGACTTTATATTAAGAAAATTAGAATGAAACCATCTTATGCCATCAAATATTAGTGAGAATGCCAGATATATCAACGATTTTAAGAGACGAGACAAAATAATGGCAAGTAAATTCGAGTTGTAGTAAGATTCATACAAATGGATATGAACTGAATGACGTAGATAGCTAGCTAGAAAGATAGATCGATAGACAGATATATATAAACAAAGGCCGAAGGAAAGAGAATCCGTGTGATAGATAGATAGATAATCAGTATAGTGAGATATGAACAGAGTGATGTAGATAGTGATTTTGCAAGCTAGCTATAAAGATAGATAGATAGATAGATAGATAGATAGATAGATAGATAGATAGATAAGCAGACTGGGATATATATATATATATATATATATATATATATATATATATATATATATATATATATATATATATTACAATAAACGTGCAATCAATTTACAAATTCATGAATTATTCACACAAAAAACAAATGCAAAAGGTTAATGATTTAATTGGCGAGAAATCCATCGTCGCAAAACAATTCAAATAATATACAAAAACCTCCGAATCCGTTATGAATGAAATGATCCTAGTTTCTATAAATTTCTGCCGTAATAGTTCTTTTTTTTTACTACAAGCTTTCGTCTGTTCCTACAGACATCTTCAGGTATGGAATAGATGTTGTTCTTGTTTTTCTCTTAGTAATAAAGAGGACAACGAAATATATGTATTGTTGTATCCGAAAATGCTATTGGAAATGAGTTATTGTTTTTGGAGCGCGCAGTAGCAACGCTGAGTTTGATTTTAAAATTTTTACAGTTGTGCGTTCATGTACAAATATGGTGATATACGAATTTTTTACTGGTAAATTTTCTGTCAAAGTGGCATGAACTATATTGTTCAATAATTACAGTAATGTCGCACTTATTATCCAAAAAGTCGCACTTGGATCAGTTATTTTAATTACAATAAACGTGCAATCAATTTACAAATTCATGAATTATTCACACAAAAAACAAATGCAAAGGTTAATGATTTAATTGGCGAGAAATGATCCTTGTTTCTATAAATTTCTGCCGAAATTTATAGAAACAAGGATCATTTCATTCATAACGGATTCGGAGGTTTTTGTAAATTATTTGAATTGTTTGCGACGATGGATTTCTCGCCAATTAAATCATTAACCTTTGCATTTGTGTGAATAATTCATGAATATATATATATATATATATATATATACACACACAGACACATATATTTATATATAGATAGGTAGATAAATAGATAGATAATGTGCAAAATGAGATATGAACTGAGTGTTGTAGATAGCGAGTTTGCAAGCTAGCTATAAAGACAGACAGATAGATGGACAGATAGATAGATAGATACATAGCCTTTTGAATTTGATGAAGTTTATTTTGAATCATCTAGTTGTGATTTCGCTAGGAACTTAGTAAAATCTATGCTTTCACAAAATCGAAATTCTTTTGTTAAGTGAAGACTATATTAAATACAGCAGAGTCCAAATCAATATAATCCTGAAGCTACGCACAACCACAAAAAATATGAGATCCTTTTGTTTTTCGAATGATAATAAAATAATTGTTTCTTTCTTAATAACCTTTCGTAACTAATCTATGGAAATGTCCCAAAGCTATTTTTTCTCATTTTTAATCAAGATGGTTTCCCGTCTCAAAGATTTTCCATGAATTACCTTTTGAATGTATTTTTTCTTCTTCTTCAACTGTGAAGAGTTCGACTGATTATAAAAATACATTTATTTGTTTTCATATATTTTAGCCATTAAAATGAATTGTCCTTTTGAGATTTGCCATTTTCCACACTCATGAAAGAACATTCAACGAAGACATCTATGTAGGGATTCCTTCATCTTCTTTATTTTTTGTATTTACCTCCTTTAGATGTTATACTTAATGAACTCGACGAAAACAGGATGAAGTGTGATACTTGCTCTGCAAATATGAATGTTGCTTTGGTGGATGGGGATGGAACTCAAAGAGATGGAGAAAAAAAAACATTTCTAAAAAAAGAATTAATAATAATATTGAAGATATCGACATCAAGGAAAAAGAACGCGAAAAATGATAGAGAAATTAGAAGAAAGAAATTGAGAAGAAGAAGAAGAAGAAGAAGAAGATAATATGGAATGAAATGGAAGAGTGTGCAACAAGTATTAGAAGAAGAAAGAGAAGGAAAAAAGAAGAAGGCTGGGAAGAAGAGGAAGAAGATAAACATGGAGAAAGCGTTAGAGAAAATAGGAATGGTAAAAGAATTGTTTTAGAAAAATGAAAAAACAAAAAGAAAAGGAAGAAGAAGAAATTTCGGCTGAAATAGAAGAATTTCAAAATTATTAGAAGAATAAGAATAAGAAAAGAATAAGTCAACGAAGGAAATGTGAAGGAAAACAGGAATGGTAACAGTTACAGAGAAATTAAAGAAGAAGAAGGAGGAGGAGGAAAAGGAGGAGAAAGAAGAAGAAAAGGGAGTAGGAAGAGAAGAATAAGAAGAGGGGGAAGGTGGGAGGAGGAGAAGGAGGAAGAAGAAGAAGAGGGAGGAGGAAGAGAAGAAGAGGAAACAGAAGAGGGAGGAGGAAGAGGAAGAAGAAGAAGAAGAAGAAAGTAGATAAAGGACAGAGAAGACGACGAGAAGTGAAAAAGAAATTAGCGGCTAAAATAGAAGAGTTTGTACAAAAGAAGACGACGACGAAGTGTAGGAAAAAAAACCTTAAGGAAATGAGGGATTGTAAAAAAGTAAATTCAGAGGGAGTAAAGAAGAAAAACAAGAAGAAAAATAGAAACGAAGAAAAAAATTATACGAAAAACTTGTCTGCAGGGAAATATAAAATAAAAAATTGAAAATTAAATTCATCTATTGCAACCGATTAATATATATATATATATATATATATATATATATATATATATATATATATATATATATTTGGCAGGAATTCCATCAAAATGGAAGAGACATTATTCAATGAAAAAACAGGACGTAGTTAAATGAAAAACGTTTAAATAAAAAAAGAAGTTTCCCTATCGACGCCCCAGTGATCAGGTTTTGTGAGTGAAATTGAGGTGATTGCCGGGTTGCAAGTAAAATGGTGGCGAGTGGCTTCCCTGTGGAGGATTGCGAATAGACAGGATGCATGAGATAGCTGTAAAAAATAATTGAATCGACATCGATAACAAATCGCAGTCTATCCATTAATCGGAGATATAGACAGCATTACAATTGCCAGTTTTTCTTACTGCCCATCTCTCTTCATATATATATATATATATATATATACATATATATATATATATATATATATATATATGTGTGTGTGTGTGTGTGTGTGTGTGTGTGTGTGTGTGTGTGTGTGTGTGTGTGTGTAGTAATGATACAATATGGTAATCTGTATGGGATTACTAGGAGTATATAGATCCAGGGAGAGCTCTATGTCAAAAGACAGACCAAAATTAATATTAATTAAAGGATATCAAACACTTAAAATCTCATAGGTAATCATTTTTATTTCATGAGAGCTCCAAAAAAGCAGCTCTCAATCCTCAAGACGTACCATCAAATCACAAATGAAATGGAAAAAAATATTCCGAGTTTAAATCAAGAGATATTTGCTATCTTATTCAGAGAGTGGGAAAAAGCTGGTCAACACGCTCTGCGTTTTCACACTCTCTAAATAAGATAGCAATATCTCTTGATTTAACCCGGAATATTGTTATAAGATGAAGATAACAGTTCGAATAATGTAAATAATACAAGTAATAGTACCTCATCTCAGAGATATAGAGGCCAAAACGTTGTGAATAGGGCAATCAAGATGACGATAACAGTCCAAATAATGTAAATAATGCAAGTAATAGTACCTCATCTCGGAGATATAGATGCCGAAACGTTGAGAATATGACAATCAAGATGAGGATAACAGACTGAATAATTTAAATAATGCAAATAATCATAATACGTCATCTCAGAGATATAGAGGCCGAAACGTTGTGAATATGGCAATGGAAATGAGGATAACAGTCCGAATAATTTAAATAATGCAATTAATCATAATACCTCATCTCAGAGATATAGAGGCCGAAACGTTGTGAATATGGCAATGGAAATGAGGATAACAGCCTGAATAATGGAAATAATGCAATTAATCATAATACCTCATCTCAGAGATATAGAGGCCAAAAGGTTGTGAATATGGCAATGTAGATGAGGATAACAGCCCGAATAAGGTAAATAATACACATAACAAGTAATGATTTTTTTTATTTTCTTTATAAGCACTGCTTGTCAAAAAACTGATTTAGCGTATCTAAAAAAAAATGCAAAAGAAATGGTAGATTCATTGCAGTAGTTATAATTGTGATAATATTTTATAACCTTCACTATATAGACGATTATTTTACCTAGGACACTTACTTCCAAATTTCTCAAGTGTGGCACAAGGTCCAAACCACGGAGCTCGTGGCCACAATAAAAAGTCAGCAAACAAGACACTCATAATTTGGAGTTTGATCATCTCTTTCTCAGGTAGTTCATTTATTATTCCAATGTCATATTGAATGTAAATGTATGTGTTTTTGTTTATGTTAAGCGGCGCAAGCATATGTAAGTGACTAACACAGACAAACGCTTATTGGTTACACAGGCACATGCAAAGTCACAGGCAGACTATGTGTGACGGACAGAGACTCAGTTCGTTTTATAATATAGATTTCTTAACTGTTTACCTGTCTCTCATTTTCTAGGCGCATTTTCTCACTTCTTTTCTGTTTAATATCCACACCGTCTTTATTTTTGCTTTATATTTGGTTCACCCATAAAACAAAGCACTTTCAAAACTTTCGCCTTTGACGTATGGACATATTCCGACTGTAAAACAATATATCGATCCACTGAACAGTAACCGAAAACATTCTTTTGCAGTGTGCAAAACAGAGAGTCCATTAGCTGGTCACGTGTCAGTAAACGCTTCCGTTATGGCGGGAAACATTCTACAATGGCTTCGCGCGAAGTTGTGCTCTGTATAAAACGACATGGACCGACCATGGAAGGAACCAAATATTTATTGAATAATTTGAGGATGGACGACACGAATCTGGAAAATATGTTTGTCGAGTGGGAAGGGGATATCAGCTAAAATCCAGCATAACCGGTCCTTCGTATTCTCTAAAAACTCAAAGTTTTAAACCCCATTAAATGAGAGAAAGTGAGATAGAGTGATTCTTTTTCTACGGGTTATCAACCCTTTGCAGGTTATTTAAAGCCAGATTTTTTTTAAAAAATTGTATGCATTTTTTTTTACATAATACACCCTTGTGCAAATTAATTGAACCAAAACGAATAATTCCGTTATTTTTTTTTTTTTCGTATTTTTTCAATAAAATGTTAGCATTTCGTATGTCCATTTCCCGAAGTCTTTCCTTGCAGATTGACCACATATTCTCGATTGGATTTAAATCAGGAGAGTTTCCGAGCCAGTCGACAGTACTTTGATTTGCTCACTGGTAACACTTCCCATTGTGTTTGTGCAGCGTTACAATTTTCGTACGCTTCCTTGTAGTAACATCTATCGCAGACAATGGCCGTAGGACAACTAATCGACTGTTTAAACAATAGTGTCTGATCGTGATAAAAATCTGATGCAATCACGGATGACGAAATATTTTTCATGGCTAGATTTAATCATGCACCCCGAAAATAGATTCATATTACTGATCACCAGGGTAAATGACCTAATCTGAGGAAAAAATAGAAATCGATTACACCCTGTATTCCAGTGTTTGTCTTTTATTTCCTGCAATTCCATTTGGTTGTTATACAAGATCTTGTTATGTGTGTTGCTCGTTGTTTCTATTTGGTCTTCTTGTCTTCGTGGAGGCACGGTGGCGTAATGGAGAGGGGCACGGATTGAGGAATCGGAGAGCCGAGTTCGAATTCCAGTCAAATCAGTTACATTCACTTACGTGCTAATACCCTTGGGAAAAGGGATAAATCATTTTCTTCTCGCCCCCACCGCAGCTATGGGTAAATAGCAGGAGAGACCGGGTTCTATAGCCTTGGATGGCAACTGGTCTACCGCAGAAACAAATGGCAACTTCTTGCAGTAAAAAAAATCTGCCTCGTCAGTCATGTATCGAAAGATACATGATCGCCTAAGCGTGTATCATATGTAGCACATAACTGACTGATGCAAAGAGTAAAAAGTTGCATAAAGCAGCAAAAGATTGGAAGTTGTGGAGAGCCATGATCGCTCAAATCCTAGAAGGAAATGGCATGTAAAAGATACGAAACTAAGTAGATATGAATGTTTTGAGAATCTGAGGTAGATTTAACTTTTATAGTGGTTCAAATTGAGAAATCGGAGAGCCGAGTTCGAATTCCAGTCAAGTCAAATCCATTACATTCACTTACGTGATGGAAAAGGGATGAATCCTCTTCTTCTCCCCCCCCCCAGCTATAGGTAAATAGCAGGACAGACTGGGTTCTATAGAATTGGATGGCAACTGGTCTACCGCAGAAAGCAAGGGCAACCTACTGCGGAAAAAATCTGCCTCGTCAGTCATGTATCGAAAGATACATGATCGTCTAAGCGCGTATCACGCATGGCATATAACTGACTGAAATTCATTTACGTTCTAATACCATTGGGAAAGGTATGAATCCTCTTCTTCCCCACCCCTCTGTTATGAGTAAATAGCAGGACGGACTGGGTTCTATAGCCGTGGATTTCAACTGGTCTACCGCAGAAAGAAATGGCAAATTACTGCGGAAAATATCTGCCTCGTCAGTCATGTATCGAAAGATCGGCTAAACGTGTATCACGTATAGCACATAACTGACTGAAATTCACTTTTGTGCTAATACCCTTGGGAAAGGAATGGATCCTCTTCTTTTCACTCCAGCTATGGGTAAATAGCAGGGCAGACTGGGTACTATAGCATTGGATGGCAATTTGTCTACCGCAGAAAGAAATGGCAACGTAGTGCGGGAAAAAAAATCTGCCCCGTCAGTCATGTATCGAAAGCTCGCCTAAACGTGTATCACGTTTTTGCCCATAACTGACTTCCTGTCTTCAGTGTGCCCTGTGAGTGTCAAATTGGCCAAGTTCTCCTTTCTCCTACTCCCAAGAATTTCAACAAACTATTTCTGGTTATAAGTATCTGTTTCGATCTTTTCCATTTTTCTTAAAATTCTCATTCCTATTCTCAAGCTCTGTTCACGTTATTCTCAGTAATATCTTGCAGAACCAATTGCCAGAAAGTTCAATTTTCCTATTCATCGGCGAAGAAATTTTCTAGTATTCACTGTCATATACGTAGATTGATATTAAATAATGGGGCAAAATATTTTTCTAAAGAAATTCTCACCTTTGTTAATATTTCACCCATTGTCAGGCACATTTGGGTTTCAGGGACACATTTTTTTTTTTGTATTCTGTTCTCGGTTGACATTGATATTTCCAATCCGTAGTTCTTACAATTTTTGGCTCGTTTTAAATGATTTCCAGTGCAGCGATGGAATCAACTTGAGAGAATTCACAGAGTTCAATTATTGTAAAAGCTCTCAGGTTCATGTCTTATTTTCTCACGGGTCTATTGACTATTCAGTTGTGTCCTGTCTTCTTTAGCCTTAATTATAATCTATCTATCTATCTATCTATCTATCTATCTATCTATCTATCTAAATTATAACCTACATTATAATCAGTCTATCTATCAATCTATATACATATAAATATAAATATAGAAAACTAGACTCGTTTCGAAAAACCCTCGAATTTTTGATTTGCTAATCAAATCAATCTCGAGGGAAAAAAAGGTTTTAAAAAAAGAAAGAGCTACAAACATGGACTTCTGCCGACAAAAAATCGGCACAGATGCAGGTCTGAAGCCCAAAGAAAAAAACCCGATACGAGTAACAACTAACTAACAAAAGAGCTCAATACAACCGTAGAGCAGACCTAGATACACCTAGAGCCAGACAAACCTACCTAGGTTTCACCTAAACGGATCGTCAGGGAAAGTTTGGCCAAACTTTCCTGACGATCCGTTTAGGTGAAACTAAGGTAGGTTTGTCTGGCTCACTAGGTGTATCTATCTATCTATCTATCTATCTATCTATATATATATATATATATATATATATATATATATAGCAGTCCGTTTCTCTTTAAACACACAAAAATACACGAGCACACA